GGCTGCAGTAAGATGCGGCTCTTGCTCTTAGGAGCAGAGTTTGCCCTTCTATATAGAAGCTTCAATAAATTCTCGTGCTTTTGCATCAACTGGACTGGAGTCTGGGTTCTTGGGGCGCCCACTTGTGACCCTAAAACCTTTGGGGTCCAACAAATGTTGGATGTCCTACCACTTACGTTTAATAAACTCTTACAACAGATACACCCTAAAGACTAAGTAAATGAAGGAGAATAGAATCATAACAGTGATTTCTATTTACCACTATCATTTTCATTGGCAAATGTGATATTCTCTGCTGCTGATACTGTTTGCCTATGAGGGCCCATCCCTTCATCCTTTCTTCTTACCCAGCTTCCAAATGGGCCCTCTAGTTCCTATCATGCTCGTATTCACCACAGCTCATTTACAGGCCTGCTTCTACCCCCACCAGCATATGTGCCCTGCTCCTGCCACCCCAGGGCAGACCCTAACCCAGTAGATAAAAAATCCTGCCCAGACTGGCCTTCCAGAATGGAACCTCAGCCTGCTAGTTCCACCAAAGCAGGGCTTCCAGTCTTATAGATGCAGTGTTTCAGAGAGATGACAGATTTATGATGATAGCCTGGGACAGTAATGGCTTAGTACTGAACCCAAACTTTCTTATTAGCTGAAGTAGCTCACATTCCTACGTGAGAGTTGTTTTTAAGTAAATAGTTACTTGCTTATGGTGACCTCAAATCAGCCACTCTGGTCAGATGGACCTGCAGACTACCAAGCTGAGAGTTCCCACAGAGTCCCCGAAGTTGACTCCATTGATATACATCTTCCAGGATCATGTGGGGTCATTATGGGAGTGGCCTTGATCCCGGCTTTCAGATACTCTACTTTTTTAAAGTCCATGGCCACCAGTGTGTCTTTGTGTCCTTGGATGCGCCAGGAGGTGCTGTGGGTGGGCCCCTTAGGAACTGTCTATGAAGAGCTCAGAAGCCTTTGTGGCAGATGTGACTGATCAGAACTGAGAGTAGAGGTGAAGTTCCAGGCCTTGGAAGCACAGAGCAGCCCATGGCTCCAGCCTCCACTGAGCAGAGCTGCACACGTGCAGTTACATGGATTCTAGTTCCTTCTTGCAGCATCGCAGGCAGACTGCTGCCACCTGCTGGAATAAAGGCAGGAGAGGTGGGATTGGAAGGGGGGGTTCTTTTTATTTTAATTTGGATGAAGATCTCTTTTAAGTTTTATTTTTATCATTTTTAGTTGTATGTAGGGTTGTGTGCATGTGAGTACAGGTTCCCCATTGAGGTGTTGTATCTCCCAGGCTAGAGTCAGAGACAGTTGTAAGCTGCCTGATGTAAGTGCTAGAACTGAATTCAGATCCTCTGCAAGAACAGCCAGTTCTCTTAACCCCTGATTCATCTCTCTAGCCCCTGAGGGCTACATCTTTAAAAAGCTTTAATTGCAATGAGCTAACTGGCTTTTGTGGTAGGAGCAGTTGGTGATTATTCTTGCCCTACTTCTGCCCAGAAACTTCACAACTCCCACAACACTGTCTCAAGTGGGTCCTGCTCCCACCTGAAAGCTGGGACAGCCATAGCTTGGGTTCTGTCTGGTACCCCTATCTCACCACACTCCCCTCCAAGGGAAAATACGACATTAATTGGCTGTTCTCTCTCTCTCTCTCTCTCTCTCTCTCTCTCTCTCTCTCTCTCTCTCTCTCTC